AAAAGAAGTCAAAAATGTGTATATCACATTTTTGACAGGACTCATCATGCCATGACTCAAGAAGAAAATAAACACAAAAAGAAATGTGATCGTAGATCATGTGCATTAAAGAAAGTGATGACTTAAATAAGTCATCGCTAACACATTTCTCATGGATCAAGATAACCATTTACAATTAATCAAAGATATTTATTTTCCTGCTGAAACCATTGGTGACAGTGGAACAAGTGATTCGGATAATTTATTTATAAATAAAATAATATTCGATTGGTTAAATGAAAAGACTCAAAAATCAATAAAACAATGGTTACAAACATTAGGTGTTATTCAACGAACTGATTTAACTTTTTTAAATAAAACAATTATTCCAAATGCATCAACTTATAATACATCAGAAAATGCTCTAAAAACGATAATAATGTTATTTATGTTGTTTCAAAAGCATGATATTGAAAAAAAGGAACTCAATCAATTAAAAAAATTAAAATTATTAACAACACGTGGAACATTAATAGCAGCTGAACAATGTTGTTTCTGTGATCAATACAAACCGCGATTGCCGCTTGAAGAATATTTAAAAGCAAAAGAAGATAAATTTTTATCTTTCGACTATGTCACCAGCGATATTTTCAAAAAGGAAAACGAAGATCTGACTGAACGGCGACGATTTTTCATTATGATGGGTGTTCAGGAGGAACTACATCCGATCGTATTTAACAGAAAACTGACATCTTACGAAGCAGCTGGACATGGATTTTGTGACTAGTATTTAGTTACAACTTCACCTGACGGAAAGCATGTAGTTGATGCCTTTTCCGGATTAATAACAATTATATTCATGCAATATACACAAAGTAAGAATATCGATTGATCCGAGATTAGTAAACTTATCTATCTATATCAAACGAGTTATATAGCTCAAAATGTTGTCCAAATTTTCAAAATTTCTGTATTCTCAATAATAATTTCTGTGGAACTTTTTGATTGAGATAAAGAACAGGATGTTTATTATTTTTTTTCTTTTTATTGTCCCGATAGATAATTATGACTTTGCAAAATTCTTTTGGTCATATGTGATCAAAAATATTACAGCAGAGATCTTAACGCAAAATGTAAGAATTTATTGGGGTCATTCCAATAAACCAGGTGCAACTGTTGGAACATTATTAGATGATAGCAATTATATTAATTGGTTCATCAAAAACGTAAAATGTATACCAACCACTATAAAGACATGTGAATTATCAAGCAATATATTTGCGGACAATAAGGAATTGAAAGAATTATGTGGAAAATACATGTGTTTTCCTTCGATTTCGTTACCACAAGATAAGATAATTTGGCATAGTATATTTAATTTCAAAACAAAACTTTCTGGTAATGATTATTTTGATTTACTTGAAAAGATTCGTCTTGATGAAAGAAATTTAAAAGATAATCTTGATCGTATACAAATGATATATTATCATATATTAAAAGAAATATATTTTTGGTCATCCAATGAACGAAAGACAATGAAAACACAAGCAAAATCCTTTTATCTATTAACTGAAAACGATCAATGGAAATTGGCTAATGATTTATATCTTTATATGGAGGGTAATGGAACAAATAACAATTTAAATGATACAATTCCATGTCTAAAACTTGATTATAAAAATAGAAATCATTCACATTTGAATCAATTTCTGGATTTATTTAATATAAAACAAATTACAATGAATGATATAAAACTTGCTGATAAACAATCTTCCCCTGCTGAACACTTTAGATGAAAACTAATTGAAATTTCACCATTTCTGAAAAAATGGCTCAAAAATTCATCTGGTTCATCCGATATTATCTCGGTAATCGACAAAAAAATTCAACAAGAAAATGATTTTATAGAATCGGATTGTTTACAATTATTTTACAATCAAAAATTTATTCAAGAAACAAATGTTTATTTTGATAATAAATATAAACAATTATATGTTAGACGACCATGGGATAGTGAAACAACATTTATAGATCTTCCCAATAAATTATGTCAATTATTAAATATACGAGGATTTGAAAAAAATATTCGATTTTTATTAAAAGGAACAATTGAAGAGATTCAAAAGCACTTCACTACAAATTCAATTGAAATACCAACTAAAAAAGACATCGTTATCTTAGAACGATTGTCAAGATCTGGTAATCAGATATATTTCTCCTTCATAAAACATATTAATCAACCTTTTAATTTATATTATTTGTAGATGTTCTCCAACAATCAAAACCGTCTGCCACACCTTCACCTAAGTCAAGTGAGACTACAACATCTCCACCTGAGTCAAACAAATCTACCTCTTCTATTAAAAACAAAGAAACCCGTAGTAATAAACATGAATATACTACAGAACCGACGGAAACATTTATTGATAATTCAACAAATCGAAAATATACAACTGATACTGTACTTGCCTTACAACAACTTAATCAAGGTTTTCCACAATATTATCCATTTTCTTGTTCTGGTAATTATGTGTTAATAGAAATTATTGCTTAGCTTTTCTCAGATAAGAGTAAGATAGACATGATCTAAATACTTTTTAATTGCACTAATCTTTTATGCACTTATGAAAATAAAATAATATTTGAAGATGATTTATAAAAGCGGTACGAGACATAAAATCTAATTTTACTGTTAAAGGAAACATAAACTGGAAACGACTTTTTTTATGTACCATCTTCAAAACTTGATGACTCTGGGCATTGAAATGATATGTGGAGCTTCTACACTGATCTTAATTAATCTGGATAAACGTGTAAAATGATCTCGACAGCTTGTAGATTAAATATTCAGAAAGATTCTCAAAAGTTACGAATGCAATGTCTGAACACGAAACAAGAATTAAGTTACTAATATTACATTAACCCTTTGAGCCCCCGTGGGAAGTATACTTCCCACCTCGAGAATTTTCGAATCTTCGAGTTTTTGAGAATTTTCGAGAAATATTTTCAATAAATGTTGGAAGTTAGTAGAGATTCATGCCAAACTACACGGATGATAGAGTGTATGGAAAACATTAAAAAGTACACCGTGCCATGTTTTTTAGCCCCCTTCCCCCTCAAAAAAGGTCAATTTTCGTCAGAAATTTCAAGATTAAGATAAATACGTAGGAAGATAGCCCGTCTTCGGATCTTTCAGAAATGATATAGTTTTTTATCCAAAACTTGCTTTTTGGCTAAAAATTTTGATAATTTCGGTAATCAGCTGCTTCAAAAACATGCTTTTTTTAAGAAAACAAAAAATCTTTTTCGTTTTTTCTCGATTTATGATTTTTTGATTTTGTGGCCAAGAATTCTTTGTCCAGGCTCATTCAATATATTTAAATTTTTTTGTTATTTGAAAGATCATATCAAGATGCAGGGCACTACGGAGTCTCTTTTTTAAATTAAGCTTTATTTTTATTATATATACAGACACTTATGTAACTAGACACCCATTTTTGGTGCGTTTTTTGAGTAGTTAAACTTGTGATCCCCTTTCTCCGCTAAAAAAGTAAAAATTTATAAAAATACCTCTGTGATACCCTGCTTCCTGACATGCTCTGTCCAACAAAAAAATTAAACGTATTGCACGAGCCTGGACCGAGAAATATTGGACGCAAAATGAGCTATTTTTGATCCTTGTTTGGCGAATATCTCGCTCAAACGTCATGGTATAGGGTTGAAAATTTTATCGTAGCCTCTCTACTATAGCCTCAACATATCCTGAAAATTTCAGCAAATTTGGCTTAGTAGAAGAAATTCGGACCTCAAAGGGTTAAAGAGGAAGTCGAAAATTTGTTATTAATTATCATTATAAAAGATAGATTGAGGATGTATTGGTAAGAAGTGAATAGAAAAGGAAAGTCGACAATGGAGTAAACGTGTCGAACATGTTTCTCCACATTATTTCAAGAACATTAAGTAAGTTTTTTTTTTACTACAGATGCAATTCAAGTGCCGATCCAAGAAATGAATCCAACAATGGCCAACTATGGAAGACCATTAACATCTGCTTTTATTGAATCAGAAGGTGAACAACTTAATAATATCGAATTAATCGATGTATCGTCAATAACAACATCAAATTTAGTATTATTTCAAAGTCCATTTGATGGAACTGGAGAATGTGATGATTTAGATTTAATCACTGGACGTATTGGTGAAGAAATGGTGCATAAATATTTGTTAAATAAATATCCTGATCAGTTAAATTTAGTTTCTATCAAATGAGAGAATCTATATGGAGAAACTCACCGACCTTATGATATTTCATTAACTAAACATGGAATTACACATTATATTGAAGTAAAATCAACACGAACATATAATCAACATATATTTCCATTATCAATTAATCAAATTGAAACTTTTTTAAAGCATAAAGAAAATTATTTTATTTATCGAGTTTATATAGACGAGAAAAAACTCATTATTTTAGATAATATTCGATGGCGTTTAATACAAAAACGACAATTGGCCTGTTTATTAAGAATTATACCAATACCATTAGATCAAACCATTTTGACGTCTGATTAAATTTGAATGCTAAATGAAACTTTTCCTTTAATTATATTTCGTGTTTTATTATTCAGAGATTCTTTATGATCACTTTTATTCTCGAAATAAATTTTTTTATAGTTGAAAAAATGTTGTCTATCATATATGAAATTCGAAATATCTCTCTATTCTATCGCAGTTATGTATGCTGCTCTCTGCTCAATGGAGAAAAAAGCAGATTTTGGTGATTTTTGACGGATTCTAGGATCCGCTTTTCCCCTCTTGTCTTTTTTTTCTCTTGATATTTTGACATATTATGCAGTTCAATCATTTGATTGTTAAAGATCATTTAGCAAAGTCAAAGTTATTACTTACTCAAATGAAAAAAATAAATAAAAAGAGTTAATGTCTTCGACTACTAGGGAGAACTATATGAAAAAAAAATCATATTATTACTGCAAACACGTTTTTTCATGATGAAAATCGGGCCAATCAAGCGTTTTTGCTTTCTATGTTTTTGTCAGTCACGTTTTTACATGCAAGAAGTTTTGCCCATTAGATGATTTGACTGTCTAACTCTCGTTGAATCAGGATTTCTCTGGCTACGAATACAGCCAGCCATTTATTCTATAATGCTGCACTGGTATTTATAGAACACATAACTTCTATATAAAGATTTGTGACGGATGCAAGTCCTCAAAAATGTAGGATGTCTAGACGTACCTCCTTACCAATAGTTGAAATTTATTGGTTAATGCTCAGAAGAACGAGTAGGATTTCTTAAAACACGTTCATTTTGAAAAATCTGTCCAGAATTTTTTTTCGTTAGAGTTTTATGAATTATATTATTAAGCTAAAAGCAGTCGAATTAATATTTTTCACTGTTGAGTTCTCGATCGAACAACTTTCTCGCGATATAGAGCTTGCATGACTTGGTTTTCATGTGGTTTGTCTGCGATGCGAATGAGATATAGATGGAGATAAAAAACATAGTATACAAATATTTGAAAATGAGATCATATTTCTTACCACTATTAAGATATAGTTAAATATCTATAAGACATTATGCAAGACTTACACAGAAGTCAAACGGTGAGCCAGGAATGGCGCCGACGATTGACTCGGAGGTGATTTCATGAAGATTTCGGGAATAAGATATTGTTAACGAAAAGTATGAGAAAGCTGACAGTATTCACTTGAAATAGTGTGGCTTATATCTAGGATTGACAATGAAAGATGGAAGCTGAATTCGATTATCAGTATGAAAGTACGAAAATTCGAATAGATTTGAACGACAATTAAAACTATGCAGTTATATTCGAAAATTCAGAGCTGTGTTCGAGCATTTCACTGTTTCCTTTTATCGTGCATTAATATTTTCTAAGCTGCCTTACAAGAAAGTGAGAGATAATGTCATAAAATGGCATGTGTAGTCTTCGTATGGTATACAAACTAGTGATGAGTATTTATCGAAGAAACTAATTGTTGACGACGTTCATTCGAGATTTAAATATTTATAAATATAGAAACTTGTGATCTATACTGTGATTTTCACTTTAACCCTTTCCGGCCGGATGTTGCCAAATGACAACATTGAAAGACTGCTTCATCAAGAACTCTTTCAAGCTCATATTAAATATCAATCTTATATCCATGATAATTAAGGACAAACATGTTGCAATTTATTCATCTTTCACTCAAGATCCACACACAGTGCCTTCTCAATATAGCTTCATAAAAGCTGAACACCTTGGAAAATCAATATAACCATAAAAACCACTGTTTTGAACATCTAATAAGGTTCAGTTGTGGAGCCATCTACCCTAAAATTTTCCTTGATAGATTAGCAATCTGCGTCACTGTTAACAACAATGTTTCAGTAATAATTGGTACAAAAAAAAACAAGAATGTTGCCTTTTGGCAACATCCGGCCGAAATGGGTCAAAAGTTTGCGAAACTATCACGAATCTCTAATGCTAACATTAACAGGATATGTTGCATCTTCTCAAGCCCAGTTTGTATTCTGAGAGTATCATGCTTTTCCATTGTTAGAAGAAAAATATCACATCTCCAGCATGAGTCACAATTTACCAATCTATTGGATTCGAAATAAATCCCCTCGACAATAAAAAAAAACCCCGAGCCTTATATTATGGCGGGTCATGTCTGATCCAAATTTGGCTCAAATCTCTGGCAAAATACACATGTTTTCTGCCAAAAAACTTGTCCGGGAACCTTCTAATCACGGAAGCTCCTTCAGTGGTGACCCGACCAGGAGTGTAAAATCTCCCCAATC